ATAAATTTATATATATATATATATATATATATATATAACACATATATGTTATTTGTATAACAGATATACATATATATTAAAGAGAATTTAAAATTAATTGTTTTTCTTTGGCGTAATAAAATATGTGTCGAGATAATTTTTTTATGTTAAGAAACCGTCACCTCTGTATATGGGGCTTATGAAATGTTTTAACTATTTTGTTGGCGTTTCGTTGTTAATGTTGTTGCTGTTGATGTTGATGGTTCGAGCGCAACAATATGCACAACTCCAACAACAAAAACAGCGAAATTTGTTGCCGCTTGCCAAGAAACAACAACAGCTGCAACAACTTCATCAAACCCAAAATAAACATCCGTTTTTTAAGCGCCTTAACTTCAGACAACAAATCCCTTTACATCAACAACAACAACAACAACATCAAAAACAATATCAACAACAACGACAACAAAATCAACAACAACAACAGCAACAGCAACAAAATCAAAAACAACAACAACATTATCGGCAAAACAACTCACGCCAATCATACCAAGAATACCAATATCAATCATCTCAACGACAACATCAACAATTTCTTACGCAACAACATAAGCAAGGTTTTGACAAAAATTATTCCAAAATTATTCCAGTACCGTATTCATATAGCAATAATTCAATATCACATCAACAACAACATCAGCCACAACTAAATCAACCACAACTACATCAACCACAACAACATCAACCGCAACTACATCAACAAAAACAACAGTTTCAAATAAAATATCAACAACAACAATATCGGCAACAAAATTTCCAGAATCAACATGCTTCAAATCAGCAGAAGCCGCAAAGTGTTCATCTTCAGCATCCAACACAACAACAAAATTATCCACAACAACAACAACACCAACCACAACAACAACAACAACAACAACAACAACAACAACAACATCAGCAACATCAACATCAACAACATCAACGACAACAACAACATCAGCAAAAAAGAAGCTCCAGCAATGAGCCAACAACAACTACTACTGCTACAACAACTACTCCTTCCACTACTACTACTACTCCATTTGAAATTAACCACAACAGCCACAACAACAACATCAACATTGTTGACGCAACATTTGCGAAAAGACCCAAAAAGGAGATAGATATCATTTTCATGCTAGATTCATCAGCCTCTGTAGCTAAAGATGGATGGATAAAATCAATCCAATTTGTCAAGGTGATGGTTGAGTTTATCCATCCATAATATATTTAATTTCATTGATAGAGAATAAAAAATAATGATATATTATAATATTGATATTATTATTATTTTCTTTTAATTAAATCTCAGAGGAACAAATTATATTATTCAAACTATTTTATATGTTATTTATCAATCAAGCCATTATTAAATTATTATTATTATTATTGTTATAAATTAAATTATTATAATAATTATTATTTATTATTAATTATTATTAAATTATTATAAATGATAGTTTAATGTCTGTATATAGCTTTTTTTCAAACAACCAACGAAACATTCAACAACTCAATTAACATTAAAACACCCTGGTTTCATTCTCAATTTTAAAATCTCAATTACAAACTGTATGCAAAATCTTAATTTTATATCATAAGCCTAATTTCCAATCTTAATCCAAAATCTTAATTCCAAATTTGAATCCCGAATTTCGATCTCAAATCTTACTATATCTTTATCCCAAACTTTAATCCCAAACCTCAATCCCAAATTTCAATCCCGAACTTCAATCCCAAATCTCAATCCTAAATTTTAATCCCAAACTTCGATCTCATATCATACCAAAAGTTTATCCCAAACTTTAAACCCAAATCTCAATTCCAAATTTCAATCCCGAACTTCAATCCCAAATCTCAATCCCAATGTTAATCCATCCCACTCTAGTCCCTGCTTGGATACATGACGGTGGGGGAAGACAGCGCTCAGGTATCCGTTATATCCTTCAATAACGATCCTACCATCCTCATTAATGGATTTAAAAGGGATAATAATACTAATAATAATAATAGTAATAACAATAATAATAATAACGATGATGATGGCGACGATTATGAAGATCTTGACATCATCCTAGATGAGAGTAATAAACATCAGCAACATCAGCAACATCAACAACAACATCGTCATCGGGTCAACTTTTCCTACATTAACACTCCACACAACAACAACAACAACAACAACAAATGCACACTCTACGAACAGTTAGATTACCATAGCGACTACAAAAACTTCAACACAAGCGGTTACACAAACACCCACAAAGCTCTTTTCTCGGCATTCTCGCTACTGAATCAAACTCGGACCCACTCTAAGAAAATTTTAGTGCTTATTTCTGACGGAAATTCAAATTTAGGCGAGGCTCCAGCCAAGTTTGCTGAAGAGATGATCCTGTCATTTACGCGTGATGACAAGTGGGACAAAAAAAGTTTTGGGCCAAAAGTTTGTATTTTGTCGATTTTGTATATCTTTGCATGATTCGCTATTTGTTTGTTTGTACGTGTGAATGTTTTGTATGAGTTTGTTCTCAATGTATATCGACATACCTTGCATGTGACAGGCAGCAAGGATCTTCTTGCAATTGAATCTGGTCACTGCGAGATTAGACCATACACTATATATTGGTGATATGTTGCTGGAATGTGAACCGTCTGTATGAATGTATTATATTGATGAAAATGTAAACATTCAGTTGGAAATTTTTGCCTTTGGAATCGGAAAGAACTCAAATTTTGAAGAGCTGAACTCGATAGCGTTGAATGTTGACAGCACTGAACAACATGTCTACTCGATTGAGAACTTTGTAGAGTTTGATTCATTTTGTAGACGAATGCAAGGAGGTTGGTCGCTTGGTTGATTGATTAGTTGGTTGGTTGGCTGATTGATTGTTTAGTTGATTGGTTGGTTGATTAATTAATTGTTTGGCTGGTTGTTTGGCCGGTTGGTTGGTCGGTTAGTTGATTGATTGGTTGATTGATTAATTGTTTGGTTGGTCGGTTGGTTAATTGATTGATTGGTCGGATAATTGAATGATTAATTAGTTAATTAACAGCGCAATGAATTGGCCGGTTGATAAATTGAATGATTTAATAATGAGATTATTAATCCTTTAGTTAACTGTACTTTGCAATTAATTAATTAATTAATTTAATTATTTAGTTATATATATAGTTATTTATCTATAAATTAATTTATTCAACAATTAATTTATTTTTTTATTTATTAATTGGTTAATTGAGCGGTTGGTATGATGTTGTTGTTGTTGTTGATGATGATGTTGTTGTTATTGATGATGATGTTGTTGATAATAATAACGTTGTTGTTGTTGTTGATGTTGTTGTTGATGATGATGTTGTTGTTGTTGCTACTGCTGATGATGATGTTGGCGTGTTGTTGATGCTGTTGATGTTGCTACAGGTATACAAGAGGACGTTTTTACAGTAGTTAACCGGGACAAGTGTTTTGTAAGTCGCAACAACATTAGCAATAACATCGTCAACAACAACAACAACAACAACAACAACAACAATGAATACAACATTAATTACAGTAATTACAATAGCAAATATAATGACATCAACGACAGTAATGACGTCACTTACAACAACAACAACAGCAGCAGCAACAACGACAATGACGTCATCTACAACAACAACAACAACAACAACGACGATGACGACACCATCAACAACAGCGTTGAGGACATCAATGATATGATCTTCAATGATGACACCTACTACGACAAAAACATCAACAACAACAACAACAATAAAAACAACAATAATAATAACAATAACAATAATAAGATTTGCACCTGTAGTGCTAGGCGGGGTAGGTACGTGTTTTCCTGCCCACCTGGATACGAAATGGCCGACGCAATATGCACAGGTCTTAAAAAAAATAATAATAATGATAATGATAATAATAATAATGATAATGATAATAATAATAATGATAATAATAATAATAATATTTATTATTTTAATAGTTGATGACGGAAGAAGATGATGATGATGGTGATGATGATGGTGAGGTGGAAGAAGAAGATGATAATGATGATGATGATGATTATGATGACGATGATGATGATTGTGATACCAACGACAGATACCTACAGCAGAATATATTTAGATATTTCATCGTACAATAATTAAATACGTAAAAACTCAATTTTTTTTATTTAATTAGCCCATAATTTCATATTCACAATAATTTTAATCAGAATGCAAACTCGGTTACTATAGCAACGTAGCAAGCCCAGCCCCCTGCCAGCCCTGCCCGGAAGAGCTGACAACCAATCAGAGAGGTTCCACGGTTTGCGATAAACGGAGACCAGGTGAGTACGCTTGAATTGTGATGATGACGTCATGGGCGGTAAGATGGTTGGTTATCAATGTTTTAATCAAAGAGAAATTTTTCAAAGTTGGATTCGGAAATTTTTAAAGTTTTCATCATCGTCGTCATCGTCATCGTCATTCTCATCACAATCATCCCCACGGCCAAGGTTACTTCTCGTGCCCCGACCTTGACCCCATCCCGAACGCCATTGGTCATCTGGTTCCTGGCCTCGTGAGGGACGAATCTTATTTAGTATCTTCTATTTCCGGAAACTGCGCAAACGTCACAAACGGAAACACGTGTCACTTTCGCTGTCGCAAGGGCTTCCGGTTGTTTGGATCGCCATATTTGATATGCGATGATGACGGGAGCTGGAAGGGGGATGTGCCAATTTGTGCCAGTGAGTGAAAGAACGAGCAGATGAATGAATGAGTAAATAAACGAACGAACGAACGTTCGGGTGATAGAAATGGGTAAATGAAGGAATGAATTCACCACACACACACACACACACACACACACACACACACAAACACACACACACACACATACACACACACACACAAACCAGGAATCACGTGTCCAAGAACTTTACCGATGAATCCAAACTACGACGTCACGTTACTAAACAACTCCTACACTTACTTATCTATGGTGGAGCTAAAATGTAAACATGGGTTTTTCCCACTGGGTCCGACTACCTACCAATGCGATGAGTACGGGGTGTGGAGGCACGTTCATAAGTTCTACTGTGTGGATGCTTCTTGTGAGTTTGTGCTTCCGCCAACAGTAATAATAATAATAATAACAACAACATCAATAATACTAATAACAATAATACTAATAACAATAACAATTTTTTCATTCTTTAATACAATTTAAAATTTTTACAATTTGAATAATTTCACTCCAAAAAAATCGAACCAGCAATAACGTGCCCGCGAGCGAAGTTAGATAGATATGCTCAATTCGACAGCGATGCTTGCTACCAAGAGAGGGTTCCGATAGGTACCGTCTGTAGAAGCACCTGCAAAAGAACCTTCCAGTGGGTACATGGGCCGGATAGTTTCGAGTGTCTGCTCGATGAGGAGAGGAAGATGGCCTACTGGAGTAGTTATGACGTCATGGTTTGTTATGGTTAGTAAGTTGGTCGATTGAGTGGTTGGTTGGTTGGTCGATTAATTGATTGATTAATTGGTTGGTCGATTGATTGGTTAATTGATTGGTTGGTTGGTCAATTGGTTGATTGGTTAGTTAGTTGATCGATTGGTTAGTTGGCTAGTTGGTTGACTAATATTTTAAAATAAACCAAACAAACACACAGACAAAAACGCACACATACTCATACAGATACAGAACCACCGAGAATAAACTGTCGCGATGACGTCATTTTAGAGTTATACCCCGGCGAGTACGTGGCTCACTACGTCGCCAACCTCTCTCTCGTGTCCATGAGCGATAATTCGGGCATCTACAAGGGGGCCATTCATGGAGCCCCTGAGAATTCTTTTTACCACCTCGGAGAACATTTTTTGGTCTTTGTAGTAACCGATGATGTTGGCTTGAGCAGTCAATGCGTCAAGAAAATTATCGTGAGAGGTATTGTTGTTGTTGTTGTTGTTGTTTGTGTTGCTATTGTTGTTGTTATTGTTGTTGTTGTTGTTGTTGGTGTTGATGATGTTGTTGTTGGTGTTGGTGGTGGTGTTGTTGTTGTTGTTGGTGTTGTTAATGTTGATGTTGTTGGTGTTGTTGATAATGTTGTTGTTGTTGTCAATGTTTCGGAGTTATTTTTGCTTGTTTTTGTTATTTTTTTCCGATTTTGTTGATGTAATTAAGTTAGTTTTGTTAGTTTTATGGTTTTTTTTACAATTTTTGTTGATGTTCTGTAACTGTTCACTTTGTTGGAACTCTACAAAGAGAAAAATCTAACACCAATTTTCCACCAACCAGCCAGAAAAACTGACATAACCTGCCCGTCAAACCAAACAGTTTACAAGCCAATGAACATGGATTCGATACAAGTGAACTGGGAGTTCCCACAAGACAACGAGTAGGAATGAAACTAAATTCTCATATAAATTGCTTTGTTGTTTAAGTTGATTAGTTGTAAAGTTTGACATACAAGCAGGCAGACATACAAAGAAGCATACAAACAATTTAATAAAATCCCATTAAACAAACTACCGATAAATGAACATACAAACACGTACATACAAAAGCAAAAACGTACAAGCATATATAGAAAAATGCAAACAAACAAACAAACATACAAACATACATACAAACAAACAAACAAACGCACACACGCAACAAACGCATACACCACACTACATACAAACAAACATACAAACACACAAACAAACAAACAGTCCCAACATTAAAGTGGAATGCAATCTCGAAAGTGGTAGCAGCTTCCAAGACGGAACCTTCCATGTAAGCTGCCTTGCAGACGAGCTTCAGCACTGTGATTTCTTCGTCAATGTAATCGGTCAGCAATATTTCATTCCCTCATTTTGTTTCCTTTATTTTATTTTATTTAATATTTGTTTATTAATTATTCTAACTTTTATTATTTTGGTGTTTATTAAAATTTATTTTTAAAAAAATTAAAAAAAATTACTCGGTTAGATAGTTATAATAATTGTATACCATATATAACTGATTAGACTCGCTGATTTCACATGTGCACGCCTTTAGCTAAGTAATATAGGAGCTGAAATTTCAAATTGTTATTTCGTAAATGTTAATATACATTCTCATTTATATTTTAATATAAATTATATTTGAATTATATTTATATTTAGATTTTATTTATATTTTAATTAAATTACTAAAACAAAGCGTAATATAAGAAGGATGGTGACTGCATTCTTAGCCACGCTAAGAAGCAATAACAATCGCAGACAGTTTATATCTCGATATCTTCTTGATAGATGATAGGTATCAGATGTCTTGATTGGTTCGTTGACGCATCGAGATCAATGTATTTTAATTGAATTTATTAAACGTTCAACAAAATTTTACAGCAATTTTAGCATTCATAAATCCCAAATAAGCATAATCCCATCTCTAAATAACCACAATCCCAATCTCAAATCCCATTCCCTGCAAGATCTAATCCCAAATTGCTCCTTCCCGCTCGAAAACATCCTCCCAACGAACGGTTATTTAGACTGTTTAAAAGTGAACAGTGCCGAAAATTTCTACAAGTACTGTTTCATACGCTGCCCTAAGCATCACAAATTATTTGGGACGAAATGGACCCGCGGACCGTATACGGAATTGAAGATGGCGGTCTTCAAGTGTACTTACGACAATCAATGGTTTGACGGAAGTGGGGGGTTGATTGGCGGAGAGACCAAAGATGTTAAATATGAATGCAGAGGTATGTGATTGGTTAGTGGGGGATGAATTTTTTTGATTGCCAGTTCTGTAGACGGTTAATTTTTTGAGATATAGATTTTTCGATTTATCGATTGAGTCGTTTATTGATATATGTTTGAAATTCATCTTAATATTTTCAGACTGTTTGAAAATATAGCCATTAATGAAAAACTTAATTAACTGATTAAATAATTTATGGTTTTAAATTAACTTTTTGACAAGCTGAAACTGTAGGACATTACCTTAAACATCCCCAACAACAACATAAACAACAACAGCAACAACATTATAGACAACAACAGCAATATCTTCAATTTAATTTCTTACAAAATGAACAACAACAACAACATCAACAACTTCAACATCAACAACAAGAATATCAACAACATCAACAACAACAACAACAACATCAACAAACAAAAGCCTTCGGTCTCTGCAGCCAACAGCAAGATGTAAAAAAATTAAAACCAACGTTAAAGTCCGTATGCAATTCATGTGTACTTATTGATTCAGAAACTTACTGTACTACTTATAACAGTAGTACATTTTCATCAAATATCATCCACACTACTACTACTACTGCTGCTGCTGCTGCTGCTGCTGCTGCTGCTACTGCTACAACAACAACTACTACTACTACTACTACTAATAATAATAATAATATTGTAAGCAATATTAATATAAATTTGAACAACAACAACAACAGTATTCAAACTGTGAGTAATAATACTACACCAAACAACCATGCCAGTTATGCAAATTATAATGGTAGTAGTAAGAGTAGTAGCGGTAGTAGCAGCAAAAGTAGTAGTAGTAGTAGAGGTAGTAGTAGTAGTAATGGCGATAGAAGCCAAAATAGTCGCAGTGGTAGTAGTAGTAGTATCAGTAGTAATAGTAGTAGTAGTAGTAGTATTAGTGGTAGTAGTAGTAGTAGTAGTAGTGGTAGAAGTAGTAGTAATAATTTTCTTATCAGTAACACCATTAACTACTTTCCTAAAAGTCCAAATCTAGACCATAATGATAATATAGGTGATAATAATAGCTTGAGTAATTTGGTTGATGATAAAAACATTAAACATAGTAGCCTTAGCAATAATATTGTTAGTAATATTAATAACAATAACAACAATAACAGTAGTAGTAGTAGTAGTAGTAGTAGTAGTAGTAGTAGTAGTAGTAGTAGTAGTAAAAGAAGATTAAGGATGAAGAATAGAAATAAAAACCGTCGCATTGACCTCTACGCCAGTGAAATTACTGTCGCTAAAAATAACCTTAATAATAATAAAGGCGTAAGTAACAATAATAATGATAATGATAATAATAATAATAATAATAATAATACTGTTACCAGTACTGTTGCAGCTGCTATTACTACTACTACTACTACTACTACTACTACTATGGCTCTTGCTAGTGCCGCTACCACTACTACTACTACTATTATTACTACTACTACTACTATTACTACTACTGCAACTACTACTACTATTACTATTACCAATACTACCACTAACACATTTTCAACTGTTACTATTACTACTACCTTTATTACTAGCAGTAGCAGCAGCAGTAGTAGCAGCAGTGATAGTAGTAGTAGCAGCAGCAGTAGTTGTTGTAGTAGTACTAGTAGTAGTAGCAGTAGTGGTGATTATAGTAATAGTAGTTATAATAGAAGTAGTAATAGTAGTGGTAGTAGTAACTATCTTTCGACGTCTGTTGATAGTGACAAGAGCGTCCTTGATTACGAGCAGGATGTTAATGCCAGTATCGTAACGATATCGGAATATTCGATTCCGATATCTAGTAATTTCGAGACTCTGGGCGGTAATTATAATGATGATGATGATGACGGTGATGATGATGGTGGTGGTGATAATAATAACAATAACAATAATACTGATGATAATAATAATAATGATGATGATGATGATAATGATGATGATGGTGGTGGTGTTGGTGATGATAATAATAATAAAAATGATACTGATAATGATAATAATGATGATTACAATGATGATGAAAACATGAATAACAATAAAGCAACAAACAACAACGGTACTAACATTTTAAAAATTGGTGATGATGATGATGATGGTGGTGGTGGTCGTGCGAATGATGATGATGATGGTGGTGGTCGAGCGAATGATGATGATGATGGTGGTGGTCGTGCGAATGATGATGATGATGATGGTGGTGGTCGTGCGAATGATGATGATGATGATAATGATAGGATGATAAAACGTAGAGATAATGATGATGATGTTGATATTGATGATAAAGATGGTGATGAAGAAGAAGTGAGAGTACGGATAAAAAGGTTTTTATTATTATGATTGTTGTGATTATTTATTATTATTATTATTATTATTATTATTATTATTATTATCATTATTATCAATATTACAATTTAACTTTCATCGTTCTCAGCCTAATATTTATTCATCAAAATATCATCATTTTCATCATTAATTTTCATCATCATCATCAATAATTTAATTATTATTATTTCTATTAATATTATTTATAATATTATTATTATATTTTCGTTATTATTGTTGTTTTTGTTATTGTTATTATTTCTAGGTCATCATCGTCCAATGATAAAGACTCACTCATCCACTTCAAATTACGTCTCGTTATAATAATAGGTGATGATGACGATGACAATAATAATAACGATAATAATGATAATAATAATAACAATAATAACAATAATAATGATGATGATGATGATGATAATAATGGTAATGATGGTAATGAATATCTTATGCAAGATGACGACAGCAAAGTTTATGAATACGACGACGACGATGATGACGATGGTGATGACGAAGCTGAGGATGATGGTGACAATGATGATGATGAGGAAGAAGATGATGATGAGCATGGTGATGATGGCGATACTTTTCATGTGTTTATGAAAGAAATAAATAAGAAAAGAATTGATGATGACGATGATGACGACGATGGGCAGTACGATGATCATTATGGTGGTTATGATGATGATGATGATGATGGTTTTTATGATGATGATGATGATGATGATGATGATGATGATGATGATGATGATGATGATGATGGCAACGACGATTATGATGATAATGATAATATTAATCTCTACTTCCACAACAATAAACTGCCCGAATATCATCATCATGAAATGTTCGCAGACAACAAAAACAACAATAATAACAACAACAAAAATAACAATAATAACAAAAACATCAACAACAACAATAATAATAATAACAACAGCAATAACATTGATTCAGGAAGAACAAAATTGAACATACCTTTCATATTTACAAAAATTGGCAAAATCAAGAGCGAATACCGCAACAACAACAACAACAATTTATACAAATATAACATCAACAACGAGCATGGCACTAATAGCAACAGCAATCCTAGCATTAACAACAACAACATTATCGTCCCAAGCAACAACAACGACAACCACCAGAGCAAGGAAAACTTTACAATGGAGATCGGCGACTTAGATGAAAGTAACAAAATTTGGATTTTGTCTCTGTAAAATGCAAATATTTTATTTAACTGCAGTAATTTTTAGTAGTAGTAGCATTGTTATTATTATTAGCAGTGACAACAGCAGTAGTAGCAGCTGCAGTAGCAGCAGCAGCAGTAGTAGCAGCAGCAGTAGTAGCAGCAACTCTAACTCTAACTCTTAGGAAGTAGTTTTTAGTAAGTTTGAGTTATTTTATATTCCAAGTTCAAGTTTGATATGCTTACCGGCCCATAGTTCTTACAATTTTGTTTAGTTAGTAAACATTATTTTCCTTATAATTAAGATCCTCTTCTTCTTCTTCTTCTCTTCTTCTTCTTCTTCTTTTTCTTCTTCTTCTTCTTCCTCTGCAGTTTTTTCGGTGTTTTAGCTTTGATAGACTATCTTCACGCCTTTGGTCTTTGTTGTGTATTTGAAATTGAAGTATTTGTAATATTTAAACTCGGCTGGTTGCGTCTCAGCTGAGGCCTATGTACCTAGAAGAGTTGGTGGGTGCATTTGACCGAGAACCAAGTACTGGTGTCTGTGCTTGAGATCTAAGTACTTGTGTAAAAAGTACCTTATCTAAGACGTACATTAGCACTTGAAGCTTGAGTTTTGGTAATTTAAACCTAAGTACTCAAGTACTTGCACTAAAAGGAAACTTCATTAAAAACACCTCTTATCACTATTATTATTATTATTATTATTATTATTATTATTATTATTATTATTATTATTATTAATATTATTATTGATAATATAATTATAATTATTATTATCTGCAGGTGTTGTGAGTTATCGTGGTGGGAGCAGTGGTGAACACGTCCTCATCATGCAAATATCTCTGATGGTCATTTCATTCCTGTCGTCTTCATCACTGTTTGTCGTCGTCGTTCGCTGGCTACTTCGTGGAAAAAAACAGAAATAAGTTGTAGCTGACGATGATGTCGTTACTGCGGCCGCTACCGCTGCTGCTGCTGATGATGATGATAATTATAATTATAATAAATTTATATAAAAGAGGATTAATTGAAATAAGGTAGACACCAATTAAGACATTTATTCAACATTATTCCAAACATGCGCGAGTTCATTAAACACTTTTAAAAATACTCTACGAAAAAACAAAATGAATGAATGAATAAGTGAATGAATGAGTGAGTGAGTGAATGAGTGAGTGAGTGAGTGAGTGAGCGAGTGAGTGAATGAGCGAGTGAGTGAGTGAATAAGTAAAGTAATGAGAGAGTGAATGTATGAATTATTAAACAGATGAATGAGTACATAAATAAATAAATGAATAGATAAGAAAAGTTTAATTGAATCTATGAATGAACGAATAAACTAATGAAGGAATAAACGAACGAATGAACGAACGAACGAATAAATGAACGACCGAACGAACAAATGGATGAATAAATAAATATATAAACCATTAAATAAAAAAATAACATAAAAATTTATTTTAAGAACAAACTTTTAGTAACAAAGTATTAACTCTAATAATAAATTAAACCTAAACAACACGTCTCAGTCTACTTGTATAAAGATAAACTATATATATATATATATATATATATATATATAAACACATATAAATACAACAATACATGTATAAAATATATGAATTTTAATCTGCCTAAACGGATACTTTCGCAGCTTTACCGAAATTATTTCCGGTATTAACATTGTTCAAAAAATTTTCACTTGAAGATTATTTTTGCATTTTTTTTTATTGATGCATTTTTAACGAATTTTCGCTAGAACACGTGTGTAATGTGCTTTTGTGTTTGTGTTTGTGTGTTTGTGTGAATTTTTTTGTGTGTTTGTGTGTGTGTGTGTGTGTGTGTGTGTGTGTGTGTGTGTGTGTGTGTGTGTGTGTGTGTGTGTGTGTGGAGAACGTTACCTATTGTAATTATTAAACAAATTAGGCCTTCAGTAAACGACTTTTAAACGATTATTAAGCATCCGTAAAACGAATTAAACATTTGTTGTTAAACTAATTTCAATACTTTGACAAATGTTTCAAATCAAAAGCATTATTCCCATGCTATTTGATAACTATGACATACATTAAACAATCAATAAACAAATTAGACGGTTATTTTAAAATGTTATCCTCTCTTAATTAAATCTCAGACGTGTTGTGCAAATGTGTCAACAACACACACACACACGCACACAAACAAACACACACACACATACATACAAACACAAACACACACATACATACAAACACACAAACACACACACCTACAGATGTTTTATAAATGTTTATACGCATTTTTATTATTATTATTGTTGTTATCATAGTTATATTATTATTATTATTAATATTACTATTTCTATTAGTAGTAATACTAATTTTATTGTTATTAATACCATTTTTCTGTCAGATTTTCCGATGAATTTCATCGCTTCAAATCCTTAAAGAATATTCCTAAATAATTCCATCCCTGATTGGTTGACGGCGGGTCAGCCATTACTCGACTGATTCTTATTCAGCAAATAGTTTGCCACATCCGGTCTGTAGACGCAGCTTGGAGAAATAAAAATGGCTGCTGTGGTGATGACGAGGTAGGTGGAGAAGATGCAGAAGCAGAGTCTGTCGATCACCATGGCGGCAAACTTCCAGTCATTCCATTCGTCAGTCTTGTCTGAATCCTCCTGAGTTTGTATGTATGAGTGTTTGTATGTCTCTCTGTGTGTATATGCCTGTGTGTGTGATTGTATATTTGTGTGTGTGTATGTGTGTGTGATTGTATGTCTCTGTGTGTGTGTGTGTGATTGTATGTGTGTTTGTATGTCTGTGTGTGTGTGTGTGTGTGTGTGTCATTGTATGTGTTTTTGTATGTTTGTGTTTGTATGTCTGTGTGTGTGTGGGTGTGTTTATAAGAAGTGTTCATGCCATTGTATGTGTGTTTATTTATATGTATGTCCATATAATTTAAAAAAAAACGTGATTGGTGATAACGCGTGGTTAGCAGTACAACTGATAATGACGTCATCTACCTTCATTCTCTTGGTCATGAATCTCAACTCGTTTAAGATGGCGAGTAGTTCGCTTTTGATGTTGAAACCGATACCGAATGCATTGGAATTCGAGCCGGTTGAATAGTTACTGGCACAGCTGTGCTGCTGCTGAAATGTCGTTTGTTGTTGATGTTGTTGGTGTGTCTGTTGTTGCTGTTGTTGTTGTTGTTGTTGGTAGTGTATATATTGAGGTTGTTGTTGTTGATACTGCTGATATTGTTGTTGAAATTGATATTGCTGTTGTGGTGGTTGCTGCTGCTGGTGGTGATGATGAATATGATGGTGGCAGCAGACGTTACTACCGCCGCCACTGTGACCCTGGCGACTGCTATTGCTTCTATTCGTATCGTAGCCAGCCAGGTTGTGAGTGGATGAACATGAGGAGGGAGTCTTGATGATGAGGTTGTCGTTGTCGGAAGGGCTGGCCCTGAAGTTGTACTGTGGCCCACTGCATGGTGTAATAGGTGAGTAGAGAAGGTTTTCGGAATTGTGCAGTGGAATATGGTTGTCGAGGTCCTTCACATTTGAAATCAGACTCAGCGATGGCGGAGTTTTGGCTTCTAGTTCCCGAAGTCTGGCCTTACGTAGGAGGACTTTTCGGGTGAGGTCCTTGCCCGGCCTTGACATTCCTAAGCACCATGCCAACCATTCGCAGATTATCGTGCGAACCTGGTGGTGATGTTGTTGTTGTTGTTGCTGCTGCTGTCGTTGTTGTTGATGATGTTGTTGTTGTTAATGTTGGTGCTGTTGTTGTTTTTGTTGATGTTGTTGTTAATTTTGTTGTTGTTAATGTTGCTAATGTTGTTTTTGTTGTTAATGTTGTTGTTGTTTTTGTTGCGTTGTTGCTGTTGTTTTTGTTGTTCAAAACATTAATTTTTTAGATAAAAAATGACGAAAAAAAAATAAAAATTTTGATGTTGAAAGAGATGTGCAGCTTTCCACAGATCAGTTGATCCTCTCTGTGATAAGAAGCTAAAAAATTTCCAATGAATCGAACGAAATGCAGAAAAAAGTTTAAAGATACCCAAAAACAACTACATACAAATACAGAAATATACCAAAATAATTACATTTAAAACAAAAAAAATAACCAAATAACTACACATCAATACAAAGATAACAGCAGAGAATTACAAAAAGTACAAGCCGTACGTAGAAATACGTATCTAAAAATTGAAAAAAATATTCAGGGCGGGCACTAAAATGCTTAAAAGGCATACACTCGTGAATATACAAATAAAAACGCAAGTCGCACGCAAAGTTATACAAATGATACAAAAAATATACAGGAAGTACACAAAGTTATACAAAAGATACAAACAATATACAGGAAGTACACAAAGGTATACAAAAGATACAAAAACTATACGGGGCGTACACAAAGTTATACAAAAGATGCAAAAAAATGTACAAGAAGTACACAAAGTTATACAAAAGATACAAAAATATAGAGGTCGTATACAAAATTATACAAAAGATACAAAAATGCAGAACGGACCGCCAAGAAAAACTGCCCTACTGAGAGTCCGAGACTCACAACTTTTCAATTCAATGACAACAACAACAACATCAACAACAACAACAACTACTACTACTACTATTACTACTACAACCACTACTACCACTACTACGAACAACAATAATAATAATTACAACTAAGTTACAACAGCTGAAACCACGACAACAACAACAATAACAACTGTATGTAAAAAAAATAGCCAATAGAACAAA